TGTATTGTATTACTCGGTTCTGTCACAGCTCTCCCAGATCAATAAAATATGGTTTTTGCTTTCATGTTTTGGAAAAAAAAAAAAAGTAACCTTGCCTGGTTATCCTGATCTAAGCCTATCTAAAACTTCGACGTTAATTAAAAAAAGGCAATTTGTGCTTTGTAACCCTTTCTATGCACTATAAAAATGATGAATAAGGAAGCACAGTGAAAGCTATAAATCAGCCTTGAGTCTGATAATCTAATAAGAGCATCTCTTTGGCAGTTTCACCTCTTGCTCATTGATCTATAGCTTGGTAATTAATTTCCCCTAGTTTTAACCTTGTATTTATTAGAATACCTAATTCCTTATTGCTAAAACTATGCACCGGAAATTTGTAGTGTTATAGTTCAGACACTGTAATATATTCATTGTTGTAGGAACACAGAGGAGGAAGACAAATTCTTTAGAGGTTTATTACTCAGATGCATTTGAGGAAAGACAGGGAGTAAAGCTGAATGGATAAAGCTAAGAGGAAAATGTAGATTGTGGCTATTAAAAGCTTTTGTAACAGAGGAATTATCTGTTGAATGATCGCCTATGGGGAAGTGTTAGGTTCTCATCTGCAGGTGCTTAAAACTCCGCTGGACAAGGTACTGACTGCAGAGATGAGCTCTGTGCTGACCAGGTAAATGGGTAATTGGGATGCGCTGCTGCTGTTCTGTGTGCTGCCCCATGCCCTAACTGCAGCATACCCCTCTCTTACAGGGCAGCCACTGTTTTCAGTTCTATTTGTGATTAAAATCTGAGGGTCCGGTTTGGCTACCCTAACTGCCATTGAATGTAATGGAAATGGCTCATCAGATCTTGAATCTGAAATACATTGACAGTTCTGGTTTCCTCTGCCAGTTTTGTTTTCCCATCTTGCTGAATGGATGGTGCGGTCTGGGTAACTGCCTTACTTATCAGCTGTGCCTTGTTCCAACATTGATTACTTTTTCCCCAAGAATCATAGAATCATAGAATGTTTGGGGTTGGAAGGGACCCCCAGAGGTCATCTAGTCCAACCCCCCTGCAGGAGCAGGGACACCGCTAAATAGATCAGGTTGCTCAGAGCCCCGTCCAACCTGGCCTTGAATGCTTCCAGGGATGGGCCTCCACTACCTCTCTGGGCAACCTGTGCCAGTGTTTCACTACCCTCATTGTAAAGAATTTCTTCCTTATGTCCAGTCTAAATTTACCCTGTTTTAGTTTATAACCATTACCCCTTGTCTTGTCACAGCTGGCCCTACTAAAAGATTTTCCCCATCTTTCCTACAGGCCCCCTTTAGGTATTGAAAGGCCGTAATCAGGTCTCACCGCAGCCTTCTCTTCTCCAGGATGAACAAGCCCAACTCCCTCAGCCTGTCCTCATAGGAGAGGTGCTCCAGCCCTCAGATCATTTTTGTGGCCCTCCTCTGGACCCGCTCCAACAGTTCCATGTCCTTCTTGTGCTGAGGGCTCCAGAGCTGGACGCAGTACTCTAGGTGAGGTCTCACCAGAAAAATGCTCATAGAAAACAGCAATAAAATTAACTTCAAATTATTTGTAGCAGATGTAAATTCTCTTTATGCATTCTTTTTGTGCTTTGCATAAAGGCAAAAGAACTCAAGCTGTATGTCTTGACCCCTCCTTTGATTCAAACTGCTGTGCAGGAAGTGAACTTTATAGATTTGTACTTAGCGGCTGTTGAGATGCTTGAGATATGTACATTTAGAATGTTAAGTTGTTCCTCTATTTGGGTATTTTTATTTCCTAAATGATTATAAAGTTTTGTAGAGATCCAAAGATAACAAACTTTTAAGTATGTACATTACAAGCTGACTTTGTATTCATGTGCCACATACCTATGTTATATGCAGAGAAAGTTTAAAAAAGAAAAAAAAAAAGCAAGATGTAGAAAAAATGTTAATCGGGTAAATATTTTATTAGATGGTAAAGCTACAATTTACTACTTTATAAATAGCCCTTTGTTTAAAAAAAAACAAACCAACTACCCCCCCCCCCCCAAAAAAAAACCCAAAACAACTGAACAACCCAGCAAACAGCATATATTGAAAAAACAAAGTATAGGTCAGGTATATTAGCCAGATGATCAGAGGAGCTCTGTTCTCTATCTTACAAGTAGTTGCTCAGGGTTGTCAATTGTGTTTGGCTTTTAGCATAAAGGGAATAGGCAAAGCATCATTTCAGATTTCACCCGTTATGCCTGTATTATGAAGTAACACACTCTTCTTCCACTGAAAAGGGTCTCTGCCTCTTGTTTTGTGCTAGAGAGATCAGACTGTGCTTTTACTGGTGGATTGAGGATCTGTGGGAGACTGTGACCTGAACTGCAAGTTTCCTACCTTTTAAAAACAAGGAGATGAGAGATCAAGTTTCATAGGTCTGGAGGGAGCAGCAGTTTGTGTTTCAGCCTGTGTCACATCTGTCTAACCTGTTTATGTCGTCCATAATTCTCTGCCACAGTTTAGGAGGCAAGTGCTCCAGAGAACTTGGTGTGCTTTCTTTCGAGTGTTGGTGCGTCAGAAAGGATAGCTCCAATATATTTGGAGGCTATAAGATTCAATGATGTAGGTATTGGGATGAAAGCTTAGAACACCTTTTCCAGCCATGTTCCAGGAAGGGGAGCATGACACCCATCCTTAAACCTAGCCTATACTTAATACTTATATGTTCCCTGCTAAATTGATGTCTAATTAAATAGCTTTACGGGTGGGAGTAGAAGAGACACGAGAGTCAGATTACACTTTATTGTGGAACTTGATATGAAATCCATACTTTGTTGCCTGAACACCGCAGTGAGATGGATGTCTGTGGCAGTAATAAAAGAGGATGTTTGTACGAGTGCTATGTGTCACAGGGCTGCCTGGGATCAGATCGCGTTTAAATACATTGTATGTGAGCTTTGATCAAGGACCACCTGGCTGTGTCTAGCCAGTGTAGAACCATGGGACTTACTGAAGGACAAACTCTCCACTTCACAGACTGCCACTGCAGTAGGAAATGTTTTTCTAGGTCAAGGTTTTACTGTTAGTAATACTGTTGCTGTATAATACAGGATCACCCGACAGTACTAATTCAACCAGGATACTATCTTGATGCACAGCTTATTTCTGTTGCCTATTTAGCTGGAGCAGCCAGTGTGCTTGTTATGATTTCTTTATGATTTTATGCCAGCTGCCTAGGGCCAGGCAATCCTCAGTCCGGCAGAGAGCCTGCCAGGAGAAAGGTTTTTTTCAGATCAGCTGGAACAAATGTGAAACTCTTGGGGTCAGTCTGAACTGGTGTAGCCATTTGTTTCACCTGCCTAGTAGTGTTTTGTTTGTGGTCGGGACTAGGTGCCTAAAATCAGGCTTGCCTTCTGGTTGAGCCATGGCCTCAGTAAAATCCCAATTTAAGCTTCTGGCTGGAGAGTTGATGCCCCCTGTGATCACCCTTTTCCCCTCTGCAGAGCTGAGCTGTGCTGCACCAGGCATTTTGTGGTTTTTGTCATTGTGCCAGTGGTTCAAGGCTGCCATAGTAACTTTAAACCCTAGGGTAGAGACAAACCAAATTTTTTTTCACAAGAATGGCCTTGTTTGGAACTTGCTTTAGGGTTTCAAAATTGTAACTAGTTTTTTGTATAATTACCTAGTGCATTCCTGGTGTAATGCCATTAGAGACATCGACATGGTACCTGGCAGCACCCCAGAAAGCTGGCTGGCTCGTCAGGGCACTGGAGGCAATATAGCCTCATTAGCACTGAGCTCTGCCTGGGTTAACGAAGCCCTGCTAATGAACGACGTTGTGCTACGTAGCGTGCCCTTGTGTCACTAGGGTAACCAACCAAGATAAGTTCTGAATGTTGTTTAAGAGGGTTTTCAAATGTCTTTTGATATTTTTACTGAAAAATACAGGCATATGTGACCCTGCCTGATACTACTTCTGTTTCCATTGCTTGAAGAATATAGCTGGCCTGTGTGTGATTTCTGGGTAACGGCTTAACACCAACATTAAAACATTTTTGTGTGGATTTGTGATGTTGTCAAGCTAGGCTATCTGACATAATCATGTAATTAAATATGTAGTTCTTTCATGATACTTTAATTAAATATCAGACCTCCTTAGGGAGCTTAAGAAGAAGGGAAATGCAGCAAGCAGGAGTAACTCTCTGCAAGTCACCCCCCAAGCCAGGGGCTGTGGCTCTGGGGAAAACCCTGGCCTCAAGTACTGGCCCAGGGATTTTGTTTGTGAGGGGGTGGAAAAACCCAGGGTGGCAGAAATCAGAATGGTGGCTGCACTGTGAGTGTCTCAGGCAGGGAGGAGCTGGCCCCACGGCTGCCTGTGCCAGTGGCTCGGGTGAGTGATTCCTGGGGTCTGTGGGCCTGCTCTGTGAGGCACCCAGGGGCCCCAGCCCCGTGGGGCCTGGTGGCCATGGCGGTTGCATGGCAAGGTGGGATGGTGCGGCCTCCCCTGAGCTGCAGGAAAAGCTCAGTGAGAGCTGAGGAAAAACTTTAAATGGGCCATAGCCTGAAGATATTATACTCTCCCTGGCTGACAGCCTTGGTCTGGAGACCGGCCAGGGAGGAGGCGAATGGGGCCCTTGGGGTCCAAAGATATTAACAAAATAAATAACTCCGACCGCAGCACCCCCTTCCACTCCCCTCAGCACATTCCGTGGAGGAGCCGGCAGCACCCTTCCTCTCCCGCTGCCTCCTGAGGTAAATCAGACACACCATGTCTGCTTCGTATTATTAAAAGAGGGAAATGAAAAAAAAAAAAAAAACCCCAATGTAAACACTCTTACAATTGCTGCAGAAACTGGATATAACCAGGTTATTCAAAGGGAAAAAATTAAGCCATCCGTATATGCCAAGTTTGCCTTCACATCTGTTAATTGTAAGGGGATGATTTTAAAAAAAGAGAAGTCATGGTTTAGGGCCCAGTTCAGCAAAGCCTGTAAATGTGTACTTCACAAAACCAGGTTTAAACCTATCCCTTTTCAGTGAAGCCCTCTCACATGCTGGTGCTTACGGAAATAAAACATGTTTTTCAGGGCTATGCTGCAGGAGGAGAGCCGGCCTCCGTGGCGGGGCTGGAGCTCAGCAGACTGCATCCTGTGAAGCTGTGAGGGCACCCCAGTCTGTCCTTAGCCAAGAAATTATTATTGCTGTAGTTGTCAGTATTGTGTTGCTATTAACCTGTCAGCATTATATGGTAAGAAGAAATCAGCAGTGTTTTAAATACTTTAAACAACAGAAAACATCGCTGTTGTTGCTATAATTACATTACAGTTGTATTGTTTTATTATGTTACTATGTTACTCTTATATCATCCATAACATCATGTTTCTGAGTTCAGCATAGTCTTTTTACCATAAAATAGTTAGTTTTTTACCTCAGAAAATCTTTATTTTAGTTTAGCATACACACAGGTTTAAACTTAAAGTAAGTTCAGCTCTGCTTCGTCAAGTGAATGCAAGTTGGTGGCATATTTTATAGAGCCGTGATCCACTTCTTACCGAAATGCTGATTTCAGTAAGAAAATTAAAAAATCAGAAGCATTAGCTCAATCTGTAGTGTTCAGGTTTCTTGGTTGTTGGCTTTAAAATGTCATCCCATAAGAAACACAGTGTTGTCATTGCCCATTATTTTATTGCAAGTTTTAAAATATTCAGTAGGTTTTTTTGGGGGGATTTCTGTGTTTTTTGGTTTGTGTGTGTGTGTTGGTTTTGTGGGGGGTTTTTTTGTTGTTGTTTTTGGTTTTTTTTTTTTTTTTAAATACTCCATCACCTGAATCTGTCGTATATGAAAATTTTGTCATAATTTGTGTAAGGTGATTTTCTGTGCCTGAAATCTGGAAACATTGGCTCTAGAGATAAAAATCTTTTCTTAATTCTGTCGATTAAAAATAATCCAATGCTTCCTATGTTTACAAATAAGTAAATTGGCCAATCGCCATAATTTTCTGTTTGGAAGCTCACTTAATTTGTACTGTTTGAAACTGTCAGTACAGAAAATAACTAGGGCAGAGGATGAAAGCATGTTCTGTGCCTGCTCAAATAAACTCTCAAAATATTTAGGTTTTCTGAGTGGCCTTTAAATTTAGACAATAAGCTATTTTTAGATAAAGATTACTTTCATTAAGTTGTGTAGATGTTTTTCTTATAGGATTTTTTTTGGTAAACTACTTTTGTCAGTAGAATAATAATTAAAATGTAAATAAATGAATACTCAATAACTGGAAAACCTTGCGCACCTTCTCTGAAACAGAACAAAATGGTTTAAAGAACAGACTATAAAAAGTAGTCTTTGATGTGTTATTGAACTGTTAGAGCTCTGAATTTTAAGATACAAGTCCATTATCAAATTATGACACAATCCTGCTTTCTAACATCTTCAAATGTACATGCTTTATAAGTAAGTTTACATACATATATGGCATTTGGACAAAATGCATTAATTTCATGTTTCATGAGCTTTTGTACATCTTGCCTTGCAGAGTACTTAGGGACCATGAGTATTTTCGAAGATATTTGTGACATCTGTTCTTAATATTCTAACATCTTTCTTCCGTGTACATTTGATAGACAACATACTTTTGGCAGTCTTTGTTATAAGAATTGCCAAAATGTTGATACTAATTTGAGTGCCTTGGTTTTCGATGAATGCAAGCCAGAATGAGCCTTTTCAGAGACTCATCTTTGGAACCAAGTTATTTCTAGAAAGCCAAATGTTTCAACATTCTTTTTAGGTAATCAGAAATAGATTTATAATAGAATAAGGAAACGATTTCTGTTCAGGAACAGTTGTTAAAATATATCTGCTCCCTCATCTTTATTCCTGATCTGTGGATTTTTAAATATGACACTGTGTTAGAACTCCATCCAAGTACCAGGCTGTGGGATTTTGCTTCGCTAGATACTTAACCCTCCTAAATGCCCATTTAACGTGCATTGATATGAGCATTTAAATGGCATTTCATTAAGAGACTTTCTGAGACTTAGATGTTACAGTGTTGAGCACTGTGCTGTGAGGTTTTTTGAACTCTGAGCACAGAATGAAAGGCACAGCCATGAGTTAAGTGCCAAGGCTTCTTATGCAACATGCAAGAAGTCCCTTCTGAAAGAGCTGTGCAAGTCCAGATCACACCAGAAAGTAAAAAGAGAGCCAGCAAGGAAGTACCTCCAGGTACTCTAGATTTGCACTCTGGTTCCTGACAGGAGAAAAGGTTCCAAGGTATTTCTTTTCAGGAGTTAAGTGACTGTCATTTCTCTGAAATCACACCATCCAATGATTAGGCAACTGTAGAATTCAGCTGGAATTAAATTCCTGTATTGCAGAGAGCCTGTTCCCTTCAAGTCTATTTCTTGTATGTCTCTGAAGAATTCATTAGCCGCAGGCTTGCAAACTGTTCTGTACTGGTGTAAGCTTATCTCCTCTGGGGAAGCTGTTATCCAGATTAGCAAGCCTCGGGAAGAGGGAGAATACGGCCTGGCTTTCTAACCTATCTGACACATGGAAGGAAAGACTGGGTTCCAGTCTTCCTCCAAAGAATTATTGTGGTGGACAAGCTATATAACCCACCTTTTCCACTCCAGAAAGAAAGACGAGGCTGCAGCTACTTTTTCTGAGGAGACCAGTGTGAGCAATGAGAATGTATACTGGATCAGACACAAGTGATGACTGCATGAATCCTGATGGACCCCGGTGTGAGAAGTAAGTGCTGAGTTGTTTAGCCCTCCCAAGACTGTGGCATGTCAGAATGCATGTAGAAGCCAAGCTTTAGGTACCAAGAAAACTTCAAGGTGATAACTGGACCATAGATGGAAATGAGGTACCTTCAGTCAGAGAACAATTGGGAGAGGGTTTTCAACAGTTTTTAATCTATGTGTGATACTCAAAGCAGAACGTAAGTGGGAGCTGAGTGTGTATCAGCTTTATCCGTTGAACCTACTCACATGAAAAAGCTGGGGTTTAGCCCTGTGTGACCAAGAATGACTACTGGGGGTATTTTATACATCAGATACATGAGCCAAAGATCTTATCTTATGTTTCCATCCATTTCAGAATCTGCAGAAACAAATGTGAAAAGCCCATAGAGACACTGAAATCCTGTCCCTGTTAAGGTAAGAGGGGCATTTCATAACAACTTCATCACAGATCAAATCTTGTAATGTGGTATTTCATTTTGAATGTGGATGTTTCTCTTAATACAAAAAGAAAAGTGAGTTGCTTTATTGATAGTGTTGCTCTGTCACAAATATTTATTGGCCAAATTAGTTTTTATTTATAATCCTGTAAATTCAGTGTAACTTCAGTGATGAGAAATTTGCCCAGAAGTGGAGAAACACAAATCCACTCACAATCATTATCACCCTGACTCATTCATTATCACCCTGACTCATTCCAGCTCTATTAGAATTTTATATGTTGTTTCTTTCCCCCCACCTCCTAAATTAGTTTTGCTGTTGCCCAAACTGAGATACACAGATCTTTCCTGTTAACTTTGTAGAATGAAAACTCTAGACATGAGATCTGTAGTAGTGGTTATTGCTCTGTGGCTGTAAGGATGGCTATGGGTTCCTCTTTGTTCAGCATGGGGAAAGAATACGCTTTATAATGCATGAGATACCTGCAAAAAATTTTTCTTGAACTGCCTGAATAGTGTAACTGCCATATGTCATCATGACAACAGACACAAAGATCAGAAAGTATCTCTGAATTGTTATTTTGAGTACCATTCTCTTAGCAGTGATATTTTTATTCATGCCATAGTTTAGCAAAGTTACCAATTTCCTGTAGGAAACAAATGATACATAAATTTCCAATATCACTTGTGGAACATGGTTTCCTAAATCCAGTATTTTGTACTATGTGGATTTGGGCTTCAGCTGCCGATTTGAAGGCTTTATGTGAAGTCAGTAATGAATTAGGCCTGTGTCCTGATATACCTGATGCCGTGTGTCAGTCTGGGTACTCAGACTTGTGGAACTGTAAGAACAAGTCTGCAGAATTTATATAAGGGATACAGCTGTCTCCTGAATGTCCCTTATGTTTCCTCTTAAACGTTCTCTATAATGTCTCTATTGAGTCACTGACCTTAAACGAAGCAAGTGAATATTGATACAAGGTAAGTAATAAATAAGTATGCAAGCATGCATAAAATGCAGCTGAAAATTAAAATGACAAATAAGGGCCAAGTATCCCCTCATCACTTCGCTAAGATGTGCGATTTCACTTTCTCTCAGTAGATGTCAGCAACACTACAAACTTGCCCAGTTTACCACTTCGAGAGTCCTGTTTACAATTTTAATTAGTTTTCCTGTTTCAGTTTTGCAGAGGAATAGCCCATCTAAGCCGGTGGAATCTGTTGGCCTCTGAGACAGGATTAGAGACTGCTATTCAGCATCTTAGAATAATATTGTATTCTCAGTAATGCAGAACTCATACAGAACTTAGTAGAAGAGGCTTATTGCTGCATTTTTAGAATTTTCTGAACATTTACCTCACATTTGCCCTCTGGGCAAACATGAAGTAATATAAGATGTCTAATATTTTGCTTCTTTCTGTGAAGTAAATCAAAACCGTGGGAATGTTTTCATATAATTTGATTTACTCCTGTCTCCTACAATAGGTCTTCAACTCTAGAGTCCTGTTTACAATTTTAATTAGTTTTCCTGTTTCAGTTTTGCAGAGGAATAGCCCATCTAAGCCGGTGGAATCTGTTGGCCTCTGAGACAGGATTAGAGACTGCTATTCAGCATCTTAGAATAATATTGTATTCTCAGTAATGCAGAACTCATACAGAACTTAGTAGAAGAGGCTTATTGCTACATTTTTAGAATTTTCTGAACATTTACCTCACATTTGCCCTCTGGGCAAACATGAAGTAATATAAGATGTCTAATATTTTGCTTCTTTCTGTGAAGTAAATCAAAACCGTGGGAATGTTTTCATATAATTTGATTTACTCCTGTCTCCTACAATATGTCTTCAACTCTGTTCAGTTAACTCTCTGCCTGCTACAAGAAAAGGGCACAATCATATTCTGACTGAAAGCAATGGCAAGTGTTCTGGTGGCTCTGCTGGGAGTTGTGTCAAACCCAGAGGAGTTCACAACCACAAAGGAAGGATGCGGAAGGAAGTTTCTTAGTAGAATTTTGTGTGTATGTGTGCATGGCAGGGAGAAAAAGGGCTGTTTATTTCTGTGTGTAAGGAGCATTCATTTTGCTGCATATTATAAAATAGAGATATTTCAAAATCATCATGTACATGAAATGGGGACCAGAGAATAAACATTACAGTGTTTATTTGGTTAGAAATGAAGAAATTTCATTATCTTCTATTCTCACAGGTCTTTTCCTTCATCTGATTTTTTTTTTAAATTTTTGTGATGTATCGGATACTTGTAAGGCATGGCAGATTTGCACTTTTGGAAGTTAAGATCGTGCCCTCAGAAACAGGATCAGCCCCCAAAGCAGCAGTGAGCATCTCTCTGTGTGTCTGTCACCATCTCCTTGGCAAGAGCACCAAAATGAGCAGCACCAAGAATTAGGGGCTAGTTCAGCCACAGGTAGTGCTGGTGACATTTTGTGTGGTATTCACTTGTCTGTTGGGAAATGGGCTGTGACTGTTCTATGTTGGCTGCAGAGTTTGCCTATACATGCTGTAGCCAGCTAGAGCAGGCCAGCTTCAGAGCCAGATTCCTTTAGCCAGAGATGCAGCCACAAAAAAAAACTTTAGAGGGGAATCAGGTGGAGTAATTTTATCTTCCAGCTAAGGGAGACAAAGAGCTCTGTTCCCCAACCCATGTTGTCAACAACAACACTAAGCAAGTATCATGCTGCTGGCAATGTCGTACTTTGTTTTCCATGTCCTCAGAACATTTTCATTTCCTGTGTCACAAGCAACATTACAATGTGTTGCCTTCAAGCCATGTGTTGGGAGCCACCATGTCATAGTATTCCCTTTATGTTCTTGTTCCCCAAATTCTCTGTCCCTTCCCATGATCTGTATGTACCTTTTGGTACCTCTGTTCCTATGCTTATCAAGTGGTCTTTGATCCTTTTCTGCTTGTCAGCTGACCCATTTTATATCAATCCTTTTCTCAGCTGCACTTTTCTTATAACCCCACAGGGGTGGGCTATGAGATACCCTCTGGCAGACAAGTGCTGCCACAGGAATAATTACCAGTCCTAGGGATGGGTCCAAAACACAGGGGAGTGAGTGGAGTTTGGGCCCCCCACATAGGCCCATCAATGCCTGTGTCTCAGCTTGGGTAGATGAAGCAGACAAGGAGAAGCAGTTTGCCAAACTGAGCATGGGGCATGTGGCTCCACGGTGATGAGGCAGCAGCAACACAGAGGAAATTTTACTTAGAGGCATCTGTTAGCAGCCATTTGGGAACTAAATCAAATGACCCCAGTGTAATCCTGTTCTGCCTCCATTGTTCTGGGCTCCTTTCTTACTTGCACAGACAGCAGAAGGAAGCTGGTGGCTTTGGCGCTCTCTCTGACTCCTTCTTTGGCTCTCCTTGCTGAATGGATCTGTTTCTGCCTCTTGTTCAGCTGTTGAGCAAGGCTGTTTCTTAGGTTTTGGCTTGCTCTGCAGGGTATGAAGTAGGGAATGCTGAATCTGCTGCTGCTTTGCAGAACATTAGATTGTAGGGGCAGTCTTTGCCACTTCACCTCAGGCTGAAACTGGAAGGAAATGGGAAGATCGTGTCTAATGTCTGCCTGAACGTGTTGGGGGAAAATGTCTTTTGGGGTTACGTGTACTGCTAATAATGTTCTGAATTTACATCTGAGAATATCAGAGGGTCATGAGCTAAACACACATCTGTGTGACATTAGGCAGAAGTTGCCTCTATGGTACAGGAGTTGAAATCAAGGTGCAAAAATAATGTGAGTCAGCCCGGAGTTTACAAGAAGACCCCAGCAATTCAGTGGCAGAGTGACGGAAATGTCTCCATCTTCAGGGCTGCGCATAATGACAGAGCCGGAAGTACTAAAAAAAAGAGTAGTGCCGAACACTGTGTTAGGTTTCATTGTCTTCATGTAGGTCTCCTAGGAAGCTTCTGAAAGATGAACTTTTGCAATGGGATTGGGCGCACAGCTATGCTTCTAGGTAATTTAGCATGGTAAGTAGTTGGTCACTAGCTCGTCACAGTAAGTCACAGCAAGAGTAGAAATTGTATGCTCCTAACTTCACACGTACTACAGTATGAAAGAAGAGATGTCTAACTCAGTTTAGCTTCGTGCTTGTGACTTTTTCAAGTCATAATTACTGCACTGGTGGTTTGGTTTAGTTGAAAAGGGAGGGGGTGGCAGGTCTGAGTTTTCCTTTAAATATGACTTCACTGGAAGACCTGGCATAAGTTTTCATTAATACCAACAATTTTGAGCATAACGTCAAAACAAGGTTTAACTATTATATGTTGCATAGCTAAATATGAAAAATAAGACCATGAGCCTTTCTTCATGTGCGCTGTTTCCTGAAACTGATTTTCAGGCCTTATGTACATCAACAATAATGGACCGATCCAGCCAAAATTTGCTTCCACAGCTGCTGGACTTAGGAAGTTCCCTGGGCCTCCTGTGTTCTGCAGCTGTGGAGGCTATTCCCTGCTCTGAATAAAAGAATCTCCCCTCTCCTGTGACTGCAGATGCTGAATGAGACATCCTGTAACACCCTGTTCAGAGGGGCAGAGCTGACAGCTGAAGGCAATCCTTGGCATTTTAGTCTTTGTAGATAATGACAGATGGTGCATAACCATGAGCAAGGAACCCCTTAGGTCCTAAAATAGGAGAGGAGATTTCTGGGGAATTATTATAAAAGTTCATTGCCCAAAGGTCTTGGTGCTGGTTCTGCTCCAGAGAGAGTAAGGAAGAGAGATATTAAGCAGAGGTTTAAAGAAAAAATAATCTTCCATATTAGAGTATTGCAACGTCTTAGGCGAGTGCAGAGAATACATTTCTCCGCATACACCAAGAGTAAGCCCAGGAGAACTGCTGCATGAAATGTTTCCTACAGAACCACACAAAACTTGCCTACTTTCAAGTTTTGCTCTGTGTTTAGATATAAAACTGTCTGTTGTAAGTTTCACTTAAATTCCTTAATTTGCACCTTTCAAATGACTTGAAGCCCACTTATGGTTTTGCAAATGAAACCTGATGGTTTCAAGTGAGTTTCAATTTGAGCTTTTAACATTCTTGTTCAAACCTGAAACTCAAAAGCGAAATTCAGGGGGTGCAAAAACACGTATATGGAAAAATCAAAGGAAAAATTCACAAGAACCTGTGCAAACCAAACTTGCAAAATTTCCTACAGCTCAGGCTCTATCCGTTTATGCAGATCATCCTCATCTCCTCCTCTTTGCTATGTGACTGTGGAGGTCAGAGGGTCTGATGGTGGTAGCTGTCAGGAGCAGCACTGCCAAAGAACTGTGGTGTCTTTCCATGGTCACCTACTGTCCTTATGGGGACAGTAATTCATCTGAATCTAAATTTGTCTTCAGATTCCACACATGCATCAGTAAGGCAGGAACAGTTTAAGTTCTGTTGATAATGTGTAACTGAAGCTGAAGAAACAAGATTTGAAGCTTATTTGGAGCAGGGAAAAGTTTTAGTAACTGAGCTGCAACAAATGGGTAATTACAAAGAGAGCTTACGTGGTGGGGGTGGGAAAACAGATGAATTATGAGGTTTTATCTAATTTCCATCCCTGCAGCACTTTTGGTTGGAAAACAGAAACTAAGTGTGCCTCATTATTGCATGAAATAAATAAAACAAAACCAGAATGTTGTGGTGGCTTCTTGATCTGTAAAGCATGCAAAGCTAAAACCACCACATGCAAAAACAATCGCAAGAAGAGTGAGTGCAAGCTGAAGGGTTGGTGATACTCACTCTTTGCAATGCACACAGCTCACAATTCTCAGCACAGTTGACCTCTTGGGAACTGATAGGAAGTTTTGCCTCTGCTTGAGTCAATGGGAATTTTGCTGTGGACTTCAGGGAGGCTGGAACTTCACAGCATAAACCCATGTTTTGCAATATATTGTTCCTGGCCCTTAAAACCTTGTAAAATCTTGTAGGTGGGCAAATACACTTTTGTAGTGCTCTGGGTCTTCTGCTAAGCAAGAATGGGAAATTAAAGGCAACCCATTTTCACTGCAGCTAGCTCAGCTCCTGATAGTGGCATACTGTCTTACCCATGAAAATTAAAAACATGTAGAACTAGCATGACTGTAAGTGGTCTCATGCTGCTCATTCTGCTTGTTTGTATGTGCCATCCCCTCCCTTTGTCTGTGCTGTCGTCTTAAACTACTTCAGTGTACACAGGCTTTGGCAGTACTTAGAGGAAGGGGTCCTGGTCTTGTTTGGTCTTTCAGTACTAAGGTCCATGTTCTCACTCCCATTCTGATGTGGACCTCAACTAGTAGTTGTGGTAGTTAATGCTCAGTCATGTCACTAAGATAATTTAAAGTACTTGCTGTTAAGTAAACTGGCACCTCTGACTGTAACATCAGCAACAGAGAAATGCCATGTTCATCAATCAAGTAGGGGTTAATTTTTGGGCCTTGTTCATGGATATCCTTAGAGATGTGCCACCATCTGTAGGGAAGATACAAGAATTTTTTTTTCTTAAGAATATCTTTTTGTCAGCTTTGAATGTGGAATCCTATAAGGCTGCTAATATTGTTCCAAAAGTTTTTATTGTGTTCACTGCATTTGTTGAGTTCTTCCTGCCTAAGTCAGCCAAAACTTTATTTTCACTGTATGTGAAAGATCTGGCTGTTTTCCAGTAGTTTATGTTTGGGGGCGAGGCAAATTCAATTCATTGACCGCTTAAAAGCTCTGCATTTGTAACTGAAATGGCTGGGTTTCCTTGTGTCTCCTTCCCTGTCTCTTGTCTCTGTAAGGCTTAAGTACAAGGATGAGATCTAGAATCCTTTGGAGAACTTAAAAATGGAAAAGCAACGTACTGTGTCTTTTTCATTTAAGTAAGTCTACCTAAAGAAATGTACAGATGCAATGGCAAAAAGCTGGCGTGAAGCCTGAGGTATGTATTTCTTGTATAGCATGTTGGTAGGGGTCCCAAAGCAGGTCCCTATGTCCTTTTATATGCCAAAGCTGTAGATGAGGGGAACTTAGGACTGAAATAGCACCATTAGTAGCTTCCAGTAATCTGTTCTTGTGGTGGGAAAGGCATTGCTAAGGAAAAAACAATACTTATTTTAATGTGAGTTTGAAAATCACTTCAGCAAATCACAGTATTCATAAGGTGATGTGGCAGGGTGAGTTGACCTTATAAGGTCCACTTCAGGAAATATCATGGTATTATTTCCTAATATCTTGAACCTTGGCCTTTTTCTATAGAAGCTTCAAAAAGTTTAACATCTGTAGAGGAAGCAGCTGGGATCTTAGAGGTAGAGACAGCTTGCTACACCAGTCAATAGATATCCAAATTAAGATGCAACATCAAGAACTTTTCCTTCCAGGAAAACCAAAACAAAATAAAATGTGAGGTTTATTTCTGTGGTGGCTCATGTGGAGAAACCCTCTAATGACTGTATTGTGTTCATAAGTATGACACAAAATTAGCAGGGTGTAGCTAGTGATGTAGGATTTGGAACATTAACTTAAGACAGAAAAATAAGCAGGAAGGGAACTGGTTGCCAAGGTTGTGTGA